CCGACTCCGACCTGCTTCTCCATCCGGGAGTACACCGAACCTCTACTTACAGCTCTTCTCCGACCAACGTGGTCGGAGCCGACTGGATAACGACCGAACAGGGACGTCCGCTCGGTAAGAACCCAAAGAATCAGGCAGAGCAAGTAAGGCAGGGCTCTCAAGTCAACCGCAATACCGAGGACCGTACCCTGCACACCTGTAGGACAGTACTGTCAGGTCATGTCAGAATGGTGCTCTGCAACCTTTCAGACATGTCAGAACGCGAACAGTGTTATGAGCGCCGACATTTATCCTATAGTATGGTAGGCGCCGACATTTGCCATACCAGAAGAACGCAGTGGAACCAACCACATGCATCCAGCCATCAACAATATTGTGGGCGGCGACAAACCACCTTGTACCCGATGGCGTGGGCAACAAGACGTAGCACACACACACTCTTTCTCTCACACTCTCTCTTGTAAAAGCCGTCCCCTTCATCTATAAAAGGGGATGCGCTCTCTCCAGGACGATAGATTCGAACGACTCCGACAGACAACACACGGATCATTCCGATTCTCTCTGCTTGGCTCTAGAACTCTAAGGCCAAACAGAGCATACGCTCGAATACTTAGTGCACGTCGGAGCTCCCGTCACTCTTGGCCCTTCGGTCCAGAGTCCGACCGGACCTCTGATACCCTCCATCTTACTCCCTCTCGTTTGTAACCCCACATCAAACTTCGAGCACCTGGGCTCATGAATAAAGTCACCGACCGACTCAAACTGGGCATAGGGTATGTTGCCTGAACCAGTATAAATCATGTGTCATTGAGTGCTAGGCCACATCCGATCACAACGTACGGCAAACGACAAATATTTACTAGTTCGTCACTTTTCGCACCGACAGTTGGCGCCGTCCGTGGGGAGGACGTCGTACGTTCACGCCTTTGGTCATCGGATGGCCCACCTTTCCGCCATCTTCGGCATGACGAGCTCAAGCGATACGACTCACTTCGGCTCGCTGGAGTTTCCCGCGCTCCCACCTGTTGGGATGTGGGTTCCTCCCGTCTTCGAGCCGTCTCAGGCCTTCCTCTTTGGAAGCCTGGACTTCGTCACCGACTGGCTCGGCGTGCTTCACCTCCGCGAGGAGGCACTTGTCCTAGCGCCCGTCCAGCAAAGATTCAGTTTACAATTTGAATACAGAAAGCATGATTCCCAGCATCTCTGCTGAAACACAAGGTTCTAGTGAAGGACTGAAGGCTGAGGAGATAAAGCATGTGAATTCAAATGTTATATGACAGTCCTCCCCATGGTCGAGAATAAACATCCTGTGAGACTAATCAACTTTGTCAAATGACCACCTACTCTAGAGTAATGGATTACAAACCAGGCATATTAATGGGGTTCAAATCACAAGGTACTACGATAGCTTTCAAAGGAAAAGGCTACTATCTTGCCTAGGATCTCATACATAGTAAAACCCAAAGGGAGCTTTCTTCAGATATATTACTAAATACTACTATCCATATATGGTAGCCCAGTATTAGCAATTTATAAAATACTAATGTGCACATCTATACTGGTATCAAGTTAGGTACACATATTTTTTTTGCTCAGGCAGACAGATTTTTTTCATACTAGAGTTATGGAATGATGCACCTCAGGACGGCTGAGGAGCATCAACTAAGATACCGGAGCAGAGCTGTCAGAATAAGAAGATGAAGCTGAACATGGTCATCCATGTACAATGGGCCAGGAAAGAGGCATAATTTTGCTTGGAATCGAGTTTGGTTATTCCCAAGCGCACCAAACTATTCCTGAGAGAGATGAATATAAATTGCATAACTAGTCCTTCAAAGTTCTCACCAGAGGCCGTCCTGGCAATCCAGGTAGCAGTGCATCATATCTGAAGTCTGGTAACAATAATCCTATGGCTGTACACCCCACCCCTTTAAAGGTCGTCGAAATGAATCCCAATAAACAAAATCCAGCTAACCCAACTGGTAATGGTTCCAATTCAAATCAGAGCACAGTTTCCATAAGCTTATAGTCAGATTGATGGACCCTCACGAGAACTGAAACTGGCAAAATCAGAGCAAAGCCGCAAATCTACTTACTTGGTTCGTGGATGCCACTGCTTGCCTGGTCCCGCACGGCCGCGAGTCCAGGCGAAACAATCATCCCATGGGTTTGCGACCTTCTTCCATACGCGCCGCCACCGGGAGTCGAGACGTCTGCCGCCATGGACAGAAGTACCAAGCCCGCGCCATAGCGGGCGCGGAGGTTGTTCGGCAATCCAGCTAATGCGACGGCACTAGTTGCGATCGCGTGGTAGTGGGACGATGGCTCGCAGTCGCAGTGGTGGTTCGTGCGTTCGCCGCCGCGCCTCACGGCGAGACGGCAGCAGCAGCAGCGCCGCCGTCGGCGACCGGGCGGAACCTCGGGATCCCAGGACCCAGGCCTGCTCAGATTCAGCCCAAATATAAGGGGAATGTATTGTCCGGGTCTTGAGGCGCAAAAGCCGGAGTGCCGAGCCTGAACTCGTGTAGCTCGTGCGGGCCTGAAGCCCATGAACCTTCCCGTCTTGGAATTATGCGCATACGGCCCAACTTTTACTCGTTGGCTTCCTTTTAAATCTTTTTTGTTGTTGTTGTTGTATCCCTGATGTTATCTGAATAGCTAGGTTTCATTGGAAAATGCAATCTCGATTCTCGAGAGAAATTCTTCTCGAAATGTGGCTGTCATCGTTCAAGACCACAAGGGCATGTACAACCCACAGACAGGTGTTCGTCTCTAAGCGTCTTGAATCTATCATACAGACAGGTATAAAGACAGGTCATACAACCCACAGACAGGTGTTCGTCTCTAAGCGTCTTGAATCTATCATACAGACAGGTATAAAGATAGGTCATACAACCCATAGACAGTGGGTCGGTCTCTAAACTGTTTAATGCTTTGCATGTAGCTAGGATCAACTATAAATAAATTTTTGTATATCATTATGTGGCTATTTGATAGAAAATGTATCAAGGATAAATAAGAGCAACATGATTACAATATTTTTAAAAACCATCAATATAATAATTATATTTCATATAGATGCAACGTCTTTTATCTAATTTCTTTTGTTTCCATAGCGTTGCCATATGTGCTCGATTAGATCCTTTTTGAGTTTCCTATGTGTTGGACGAGCTTTGATAGTGGAATTTCTACGAAGTACCTCTACGAAGATAGGATTAGGGTTGTCACTTGTACGCACTTCAGGTGGGAGCACTATCGTCGCACTTGGATTCTCATTCAAATCCAAGACTTCTCTAATTGAATCCTTCTCATCTTCCACTATCATATTGTGAAGGATAACACAAGCTTGCATTATGTTGATAACGTCCCCCTGCTTCCATAACCTTGCTGGTCGACGAACAATATCAAAGCGTGATTGCAGCACACCAAATGCGCACTCGACATCTTTCCTCGCCCCTTCTTGCATCAATGCAAATAATTTGTCTTCCGCCGACTGAGGGGCCGTCACTATCTTCACAAATACTGCCCATTCTGGATATATTTTATCGGCAAGATAATAACCTATGTCATATTATATTCCATTTACATTATAGTGTACCGCAGGAGCTTCCCCTTTTATTGCTTGAATGAACAGTGGTGACTTGTTTAGAACGTTTATGTCGTTCTGAGACCCGGCGGTACCAAAGAAAGCATGCCATATACGAAGATCCCGAGTTGCCACCGCTTCAAGGATCATAGTAGGAACGTCTTTATCACCACGTGTGAACATGCCTGCCCAACCTTTCGGACAATTCTTCCATGCCCAATGCATACAATCGATGCTTCCCAACATTCTTGGAAAACCACGAGCCTCATTTTCTCGTAATATTTTTTCCAGTTCATCGCTTCTTGGGCGTAGATATTCTTCACCGAATTTTTCAATCACCCTTCTTGACAAATTTTCCCAAAATCTCCAAACAAGTGCTTGCAGCTATCTTTAACACCTCATCAAGTTGATCACCGAGGTTCCATAAGCTAGCATCCCGATAGCGCGGTACACTTTTGAAGCGGTGAAAGTCCATTCCTACGGTAGCATCGGGTCTTTGGGTGAAATAAGGAGACCAATCACCGAGTGCATGCACGACACGTAAGAACAATGGCTTATTCATCCTAAATCTCCTACGGAACATCTCATCGGTGTAGATAGGATTTGCATAAAAGTAATTAGCGACAAGATCATCATGAGCTGCTTCTCGATTCCTTGGTATGTACTGCGCGGTCCAGCTTTTGTGGCGGCATTTACGAGATACTCATTGATGCTTCTCCATCGATGTAGGCCTTCAATTCCGCTTGTATCATATCTTCTAAGATTCCATCCTCTGCTAGCATATCTTCTACGGTGAACACCTCTGTAGGATCAAAGTCCTCGGCATCTTGCACCTCATCTTGCTCCATAGAAACTAACTAGAGCAGGGCGGTGCAAAATGAACTAACCGGTGCCAATTTATAGTATGATAGCTTCTGCCTCACATTCACATAGATAGCACATTCACATTCAGATGACATGTTCACATTCAGATAGCACAATCACATTTAGATAGCACATTCACATTCAGATAGATAGCATATTCACATTGAAATGGCATGTTCACATTCAGATAGATAGCACATTCACAACCACTTTCAGGATGACATGTTCACATTCAGATAGCACATTCAAATGACATGTTCACATTCACAGTCACTAGTAGATAGATAGCACATTCACATTTAGGTAAATAGTAGATAGCACTCAGATGACAGCATCAGGTAGATCACACCATGTCCTGCAAAAATGAGAGGTTCATGTTGCTCAAATTCTTCATGGTAGGTGTAGAGGTGTACAGTTGCTCAAGTTACTGTTCGGTCACTTTCAGGAAAAAGGGCCTTCCTAAGACACTTCATGGCAAAGAACTCGCTCCGTCTTTTCCACATCGGACATTAAACTTGTATCTTGTAAGATGAGGTGTTATAAGCCTCCATCATCTTTGATTCTTTCTCAAGCATCTTTCTCTTTTTGGTCTCTTGTGCGATAAGGTGGGCAAGTTTTGTGGTCTCAAGCTTCTCGGATGATAGCTTCTGCTGTAGCGGTCCAATATCTTCATACGGTTTGCATTTGTTTCCTCCTGGAATTTGTCTAATTTGTCTAGATCAATAGCAGATTCCTTTGAGTTACCATTATCTTCACTGCTGGAGCCTTTTGACTTGCCTTTTGCAGCTAGAGCTGTCTTTTTAGCTGCCTTCTGACCCATTGGTCGATTTAGCATCTCTTCCAAGCTTTCATCATTTTCCTGATCCCTTTCTTCTTCAAGGTGAAATGATTTCCTTTTACGTGCATTCCTCAGCTCTTCATTGTATGTTTTCCACTTTGACACTTCTCGACAAATTTTCCAAACCTCAATCCCAACAAAGGGTCCTAGTTTTGTAACTTTGTTGTCCTCCACATAGAACTTGTGGGCTGCATCAGTCCACGTTTGATCAGAATATCCACTTGTAAATACTCTGCGAGCCTTTACATAAGCATATTCAAAGAGGTCCGTCCACCTATTAATTTTGTGCCATCTATCCTTGCATTGCTTCAGATTTCTCTTTCGAAGTGGTGGGGTAGTCTTGTTGTAGGATTTAACAACCTCACCCCAATACTGGTTACCACCCTTATCGGCTCCACAGGTAGAGTCTGTTGAATGTTCTATCCAAGCGCTCATCAATCTAAGATCCTCTTCCTCTGTCCATAGGATCCTCTTCTCAGTCCTAACATTGTCATTATCAAGTAATATTTCTACTTCAGGCTGTGAACTTGCATCATTGTTGGTGGATAGTGGTCTATTCAAAGGGCTGTTGTGAATCGGTGCACCAACCAAATGAAAGTTGTGTGGCTGATTTTCGAAGTAGCTCATGAAACCACCAGATGGACGTGGATCTTTGTCCCTGCAGAAAACAAACAATAACCACTATGGCTTTGAGTTGCAGAATATAGCACAGTACAAACATCTATCCAATATGTTGCGGAATATAGCACAATCATCTATCCAATATGTTGCAGAATATAGCACAATCATCTATCCAAAAAGTTGCAGAATATAGCACAATCATCTATCCAATATATGTTATTCTTCTACTGGATCTTAAACAATGATTGTAAATTGAAAAAATCACAAACCAGGAGAAGAGGGATTACCATGATACAGGAGAAGAGGGATCACTGTCGGCCGCATCAAACCAGGCTTGAGACGGTGAATGAGGAACGGAAATCCATCTATCTTTGGGAAGCCACCAACGCTGGATCCATCAATGGAGGATGGGCGCCGCGCGCGCGCCCTTGCCGACACCACCGGTGGTTGGGCGGGTCACCTTCTTCTTTTGTTGCCGCCACGTCCAGAGAGAGCGGGCCATCGCCGAGCCGCCACCACGGCCGAGAGAGAGAGCCGTCGGCGCCGAGAAGCCACCGCGACCGAGGGTACGGGCTGGGGCCGCCGCCGCCGCATCCAATGCCGACGGTGTGGATGCCTTCTTCTTCCTAGCTGCGGCCGACATGGACATCTCGAGAGTGCGAGGTGGAGATGGATGAGGCGGATTGGGGGAACCAGGATGAGGCGGATTGGGGGAACCGGGATGAGGCGGAGATATGGCTGGTGGAGATGGATTGGGCGCGGAAAACTCCCGCGCGCGCCCAAATCTTCTGCCTGCGCGCGCCATCGACTCCTACCCGTGGGATCCGAGCGCGCCGTCGCCTCTAGAAGATGAGGCCGTACAACGGAGCCGCCGCCGTCTCTTCCGCCTCGGAGCACGGGAGAAGGCCGTCGCCTCGCGCGTGGCGCGGCTAAACAGGGGGTTTCCTGCAAAAAAGCCCATCACGGAGACGGGAAAAAGACGCCGTTGTACATGCCCTAAGGCCCGGAGTTTGAACTCTTAACTGTATATTTTCAGAACATTTCATCGACCATTCTTTATTAATCACCTTGTTCGCTTAAATTTATTGGCTCTGTTCGCTTCTCTTATAATCCATCTTTTTCAGCTTGTTTTTTCAGCCAGAACAGTGTTTTTCTCTCACAATAAATCAGCTAAAACAGTGTTTCGGCTTGTTTTTTGAGCGAAGCGAACGAGGCATTAGCCCGGCTTATCAGTTATGGTACAATATTTTTCTCTCACAAGTATCAGCCGGTTTATCAGCCGCTAAAACCATCAGGGGAATAGCACGAATATTCTTCAGTCGAAGAAATTCCACGCGTAGATTCAAAGACTTCACATCTGCTTTGGAATAGTCAGTACTTCACTAAATCACTCATTTGTTTGGAGTCTAACGTTGTGTGGTGCACGCTGCTTCACGCGTTGATTCAGCAAGAAAAATGCGAATATCGTTTACCGGTCGTCGAAGACTTTCCAGTTTGGAGTTATATACAAGGGGCCTCCTAAAATTTAGTCCTTGTCACATTGATTACAGTAAACATGTTTGATACTATTTGAAGTATTAAACACAGACTAATTATAAAACTAATTATACAGTTCGAGACTAATTTGTGACACGAATCTATTAAGCCTAATTAGTTCAAGATTTGATAATATAGTGCTACAGTAAACATATGATAATGATAAATTAATTATGCTTAATAAATTCGTCTTACGAATTAGTCACGGCTTATGTAATTAGTTTTATTATTAATATCCAAACATCTAATGTGACAATAAATATGATATCTAATCGAGCACCCCGGTCGACAAAATGACAATCTGACAAAGCCAGTCCAGGTTCGCACAGGCACACTGCCAAGATACATACTCCGTATTTGTGCCCAGCAGGCAAGCACCGCAGCCCGCAGGCAGCAGGTCCCTCGGTGTCCTTCGATGGCCATGGAGCTGCTGCTAACAGTCGCATTAGCTTCCTTGCTCCTCCACGTAGCAAGAGCCACCGTCGACAACACCACCGCAAGCTGCGCTCCGGCGAGATGCGGGGACCTGAGCGTCACGTACCCGTTCTCGCTCAGCGGCGTGCAGCCGCCGTACTGCGGTTTCCCGGCGCTCCGCCTCACGTGCAACGATGGCCGCCGCGCCTACCTCGACAGGGCGTTCACGGAGCGCCCGTACCGCGTCCAAGGCATATCCTACGACAACAGCTCGCTCGTGGTGTCCGTCGAGGCGTCCACCTTCGCCGGCGACGAGACGTGCAGCATCCCGGACTTCAACGTCTCCTCCGGCCTCTCCCGCCTCCCGCTCAAGATGAGCGACGCCAACAGGAACCTCACCGTCGTTTATGACTGCGAGGTTCCTCGCAGCATACGACTGCCACGGCCGTGTGCTAACCACACGATGGGAGCTTACGTCTCCGACGGCGACGGACCAACGACGGGTGTTCCGACGAACTGCAGCTTTCTCAGCGTGCCGGTGCGCTTGTTCCGTGACGACGGAAAGCCGGCCCCTCATCGCTACGACTACGAGGGACTGATCAGCGATGGGTTCCTCTTGGAGTGGACGGCGGTGGGAGACTGCGCTGCGTGCAAACGGAGCGGAGCAGAGTGCAGGTTCGTCCAACAATCGTTCCAGTGCTTCTGCCGCGACGAGTTGCTCTGCTCAACCACGCCTCAAGGTAAGAAGAGTAGTGCTCTGTAGTTTTTCTTCGAACGCTCCTAGCCATGACTCATACTTCCTCTGTCTAAAATATAGGTTACTTTTATTTCATTTTAAGTTATACTTCTCTAGTTTTTATCTAGTTTTGTAGAAAAACACACTAATATCTATGATACTAAGATAATACACTAATAAAATACTCCCCTCGTTTCAAATTATAAAATGTTTTGACATTTCTAGATTCATAACTTTTGCTACGCATCTAAATACATATTATGTTTAGATTCGTAGTAAAGGCTATGAACTTAAAAGTGTCAAAACATCTTATAATTTGGGACAAAGGAGTATGTCTTATAATAGATTTAATAAAAAACAATCTGATATTGTAAACGTCAGCTCCAAATTTTGGAACCAAGTGAGTAGTCAGCATAGGTTGTTGAGAGATATGTTTAAAAACATTAAAGCTAGAAATGTTGTCCGATACAATTATACTCCCTCCATTTTAAATTGGTTATTCTAGATAATTTATATCTAGATGCATAGCGAAAGTTATGTATCTAAAAAGTTAAAAGGACTTATAATTTAGAATGGATTGGTGCAATACATCAACTTTTCTTGAGTAATCAATACAGAAGTCTTAGTTAATAATAAAACTTATGCCCATGCAGGTATCGACGGTACGGCCAGGAAGATAATCATAGGTATGCCAAAAATCAATTAGCACAAAGGTGTGAATACTGTGCTTGAAAGAAACCTTAGTTTCCTTGGGAGTTTTAGTTCAAATCTTTGGTTTTAGCAGGTGTTGAGCACATAATCTCCTTTTTTGTTCTTTGCGAATCAATCTCCCTTTATATTTAACTACTTAATTGTGCCCTTTAGTACCTAAAATGGCATTGTTGTGCTTCCAAATCCAAAATAACACTCTCTTCAATCTCAGGGTTCTTGTTAGCAGCTACATTCTTGATTTTTGCATGTGGCATTGCTACTTATGCATTGATATGGCGAGGGAAGGATCACAAACTAAGGGTTACCAACACCATGGAGAGAAACATTAAAGACTTGGTTACATTGCATGGATCCCTTACTCCAAAAAGATACGATTACTCAGAGGTTATAAAGATAACATATTTCCTTCGTAGTAAGCTTGGAAAAGGCAGTTATGGTACAGTTTTCAGCGGAAGGCTGGACGATGGTCATCTTGTCGCTGTTAAATTATTGCATCTCTCCAAAGGAAATGGAGAGGACTTTGTGAATGAGGTCATGAGCATTAGCAGAACATCCCATGTTAACATTGTTAGCTTGCTTGGATTTTGTTTGGAAGGTTCGAAACGAGCTCTTATATATGAATACATGCCAAATGGTTCTTTAGATAAGTATATTTATGCAGAGAACCACAAAGGAATTTTAGGATGGGACAAACTGTATAAAATTGCAATTGGAATTGCCCGTGGGCTAGAATACTTGCACCATAGTTGCAACACATGTATTGTTCATTTTGATATCAAGCCTCAAAACATCCTTCTGGACAAAGATTTCTGCCCAAAGATTGCAGACTTTGGTCTAGCCAAATTGTGTGGCACAAAAGAGAGTAAGCTTTCATTGACTTATCCTAGGGGAACAATTGGCTTTATTGCCCCTGAAGTTTTCTATCCAACTTTTGGAAATGTCTCAACAAAGTCAGATGTTTATGGTTATGGAATGATGTTGCTGGAGATGGTCGGAGGCCGGAAAAATGTCGAAGCGATGGATGAGAACTCCAGTAAAATGTATTTTCCAGATTGGATTTATGACAACTTTGCTCAAGATGATGGATTACAAACCTATGAAATCGGAAGTGAATTTGAGGAAATGGCAAAGAAGATTACCTTAATTGGTTTATGGTGCATACAATTATTACCTATGTATCGTCCTACAATAACGAACGTTTTGGATATGTTCGGAAGGAGATTAGATGAATTAGACATGCCACCAAAGCAAAACTTATGTCAAATAATGTAAGACCTTGCAATGCACATTTGTTGTAAAACTTCAAAAATAAAGTACTGATCTTCTCATGTTTCTCTCTTTGCAGCGAAGATTCAGCTCACAATTTGAGTGCAGAAAATGCAAGTGCTACAAACCCTAGTAACGCAAAGGTGCCTTCAGGTTGTGGACAGCCTGGTGCAAGGATGATAGTGAAACCACTTATTAGGCCTAAGCCTGGGTTTGCTTAGCCTACAGCATCCCTCGCTTTGTGCCTTAAAAAAAATAGAAACAACGATCTATGAGGGTATACATGGTGGTCCAGTATATAATCAAAACAATATTCTTTCTGCCTTGATCATTCAAGAGTCCCTTATCTCACGAGACTAGTTTAAGCAATGTAGAATATGCTAATTTGGCATTGGTGTATCCTAAATCATGTCATATTCCTACTGAGAGCAACGGTAGAAGGTGTGTATGTATAGCCAGCCCGCCAAGGTTAAAATGCTCTATGACGCAAATCTGGGCACTTTTTTTTCTTCATTAATATAAACTAATACAAGTTTTGAGGTGGTTGGAAAAAAAACTCAATAGCTTTAATTTGTTTTCTCAAAATAAGAACATATCGTTTTTTTAGAATAACACAGTACAATGTAGACGCCCACAACACGCACACACACTCACCCCAGAAACATGATACTTTCCAACTATACTGTAAAAATACTCAAAAACTAAACATGAAGTCTCTCCTAAAAGTGTGAATGGGTGAAAGAATGTACTAGTGCAGCTTTTGTCAAAAGTTGTCAAATTAGCGAAGTATCATTGATCCCGTGCAAACCGATCATAACTACTCCATCCGTCCAAATTATAAGTCGCTTTAAATTTTTTGGTACATCTATTTTGTTGTGCATCTATGTATAATAATATGTCTAGATACATAGGTAAATGGATGAACAAAAAAATCAAAGCGATTTATAATTTGGAACGGATGGAGTATATTATATTGATTGATGCTTTTACTTCTCTCGCACACCACTACCCAAGTCCTCAATACCAGTATCAAATTAGTCATCATAGTGCTCCTCATCATCATTTAAGGATTGATATATATGCGACTAGAGCATATCAAGTTGGATATTAAGACGATCAGGTAACTATGTACGTAACATGGACCAATAACAAGCATAAATCTTGCTTCCGTTGCCTGGAGCACAAAATTACTCCCAAAGGCAAACGACTTTAGATGATAACTAGTGCCTTTTAAACTTAATTAATTACTATCATGACACAGCTTTACAAGATAGATCTTCAGACCTAGTCCACCTGAAGTTAGGAAAAATTCTCCTGAAAACTAAAGAAAAATTATGCAAAGTTCCACATATGTATAAAGAATATATACTATTACTCCAGTTACGTCGGAATCAGGTCAAACTGAAAAAGGGGCTAATACGATAGAAGTATTTTGTGAGACTTACATTGGCATGTGCTCTCGTGTTGGAATTCTCATGCACATGCACCTGCCAGGACGCCCACGGCAGCTGACTGTGAATATCACGATTCACAAGTCTACCACTAACGGTCAGGATGCTCGTAAGTAATGCACAACTACTAACAATCTGGATCCTTACCATGTACTCTGACTACATGCAGTCAACATCTTCATGGAATTGGTTCCGGCTGAGTCACCGAAGGGCAAGTCTTGACTACAGAGGTGACATGACTAAAGTCTGAGCCATCATCAGACTATGACTGGCCGGGTATACCTTTTGAACACAACAGTGTGGTCGTGGTTGGTAGACCAGCTTAGTCTAATCACTGTCATCAGCTTCTAGTCCTTTGTATGCTTCGGAAGCTAGGGCCTGTTCGGCTGGTATTAAAGCCGGCTGATAAGCCGGTTGAGGCTGTTTTGTTGTGAGAGAAAAATAACTTCCGAAGCATACAAAGGACTAGAAGCTGATGACAGTGATTAGACTAAGCTGGTCTACCAACCACGACCACACTGTTGTGTTCAAAAGGTATACCCGGCCAGTCATAGTCTGATGATGGCTCAGACTTTAGTCATGTCACCTCTGTAGTCAAGACTTGCCCTTCGGGCACTCCACTTCTCAGACAACCAACAAGTTCTTCATATCTACTCTGTTCGGCTACATGCCTCCATGTATGCATCTCTCAACTCTGTCTCCAGCCCTCCACCCATTTTGTCACCTCCACTCCGATGTCCCTGTTTAGCTTGGCCTTGCTATGGTTAGCTCTCTCACTTGTAGCAGCCGTCGAACCAGCAGATGACCAAGAGGCTAGCTGCTCGCCCAAGTTATGCGGCAACCTGACTATCTCAGACCCATTTGGATTTGTTCCGGAGCAAGCAACGGACACAAAATGCGGTCGTCTGGGATTCGAGGTCCATTGCAACAACAGCATTCCATACCTCGGGTATTATCGGCGGAAGTATAGATTCCGGATCCTCAACATCTTCTACGACAACAGCTCCTTGCTTGTCGCTGATATCCACAAGCTCGAGGACTTCATCGGATCCAACTCCAAGGGCTGCCATGTTCTGACTTCCAACACCTCCTCCAAAATCGGTCTTCCATTCTCGATCAGCCCTGTCAATCTGAACCTCATCTTCTACATGTGCACCAAGACACCGGAGCCGGATATGGGGCTTGTGGAGACGAAATGTGGCAGCAGCTTGCTTGTTCATGTTGGAGGGCATTACAATGACTCGAGCAACTACACGCAGTACTCAGTTGAGGGATGCAGCACTACCCTTGTGCCAGTGCGGGGGGCATTTGGCGAGGCGAACGCGAGCAGCTATGAGCAACTCATCAGCGATGGCTTCCTCTTGACATGGCAGCCACCAACTGGTAAATTCACTTGTGAGATTATTACAATCAAATAAATTGAATCATGCATTTGGTGTGAAAAAGGTCAGATTCTTCTAGTCCAACTGAAAACCAAAGTCACAGTCAATTAGCATGCCAGTAGGACATCTGACATATTTCATCGTGACATCATTTACATTTAGGCTGTGTTTAGTTCGCGAAATGAAAAATTTTGGATGTCACATCGGATGTTTCGGGGATATCGGAAGGGGTTTTCGGATACTAATAAAAAAAACTAATTACATAACTCACCTGGAAACTGCGAGACGAATTTATTAAGCCTAATTAATCCATCATTAGCGCATGTTAGTTACTGTAGCACTTATGGCTAATCATGGACTAATTAGTCTTAGAACATTCGTCTCGCGATTTCCAACCAAACTGTGCAATTAGTTTTTTTTCGTCTATATTTAATACTTCATGCATGTGCCGTAAGATTCGATGTGATAGTTTGGGTGAAAATTTTTGGGAACTAAACCAGGCCTTACATTCCTAAGGAGGTAAAAACATGACTCAGTAACTGGTTGTTGCACTTTTGTAGTGAATGCACATGAGAAGATTTTGCAACAGGCAATTTACTCAATTTAAAACAGTTGAAACTTGAAACACTAATTTTAGAAACATATCACCTGTAAAAAAAGGTAAATGTCAAGAAAAAATAGACAGTGCCATGCTGTCACGGAAAAATCACTAGTCATATTGCACTTCCCTTCAGTTTTCTCCAATAATGCTATCTCTGTCATTATTGGATAATTTTTTGTTGTGATTGAGATGTTGCTAACTAGAATCAATATATATTGCAGACAGGAGGCACAACATCAGATTAATTCTAATAGGTACTCCCTCCATCCCTGAATAAATCAATTCCTGGAAGTCATTTTTTTTATGTTTGACCCAATTTATAGAAAAAACACAAATATTTATGAAACCAAATAAGTACATAATGAAAATACATTTTATGGTGTATGTAACGATACTAATTTGGTGTCATAAGTCTTTGTGCTCTTTTGTATGAGTCCGATCAAACTTAGAAAAGTTTGATTTAAGACATCTCTATGAATTAATTTATTCAGGGATAGAGGTAGTATGTATTTATTTGGTTAGCTATACGTATTGTACTACCATCTAAAGTTTCAGCTGGCAGGTTAGCCTCGTGCTCTTATGTGATAACAGAATAGGATCTACTGCTATTCTTATCAGTTTTGCAGATATATATATATCTGATATTACAGAAGAACTCTAGGGAGAAGATTAAATTAATCATATGGAATTATAGCATCCTCAAGAACTTGCATATGCATAGATGGAAATCTTCTATAGTAGTGTATATTTCCATGGCTGGGTTTCATTCTTTGGTTTTAATTTTCTAGGTTCCATGTCTGCTACAGCTGGGTTGTTTTTCACATGTCTTCTTTGGTTCATATACCGTCGGAAACAAAAGCTCGGTGTCTTCATTCTCCAAAAGCATGCTCGGAGTAAATCAAATATGGAAGAGATAATAAGGAGATATCAATCACTGACCCCAAAGAGGTACAGTCACTCGGATCTGAAGAAAATAACAAGAGGTTTTAAGGAAAAATTAGGAGAGGGTGGTTATGGTACAGTATTCAAGGGTACTCTACCAGATGGCCATATGGTTGCTGTGAAACTCTTAAAAGGGTCCAAAGGCAATGGAGAGGAATTCCTAAATGAGGTTACTAGCATTGGTAGGACCTCCCATGTCAATATTGTCAGTTTATTTGGCTTTTGTTTACAGGGATCTAAGAGAGCCCTTGTTTATGAGTACATGGCCAATGGCTCTTTAGAGAAGTATATTTATTCAGAGAGTTTAAAGTCGGCACTTGGATGGGAAAAATTGAGGAAAATAGCTATTGGCATCGCCCATGGCCTGGAGTATTTGCATCAGGGCTGCAGCACCCGCATCATCCATTTTGATATTAAGCCCCACAACATCCTTCTTGACGAAGACTTCTGTCCGAAAATTGCTGATTTCGGATTGGCAAAACTGTGTCATGTCAAGGACAGTGCTCTCTCAATGGGTGATGCAAGAGGCACCATTGGTTTCATTGCTCCAGAAGTGTTTTATAGAGGGTTTGGAGTTGTGTCAACTAAGTCAGACGTTTACAGCTATGGAATGATGATACTACAAATGGTAAGCGGCCGGGGAAATACTGAGAATTCTAGTGAAACGTATTTTACCGACTGGATTTATGACTGCATGTTAAAGGATTTGCAAAGCCATGAAGTCACATCCGAGCTAGAAGAGACTGCAAAGCAGATTGCTCTAGTTGGCTTGTGGTGCATACAAATGGCCCCAGGAAGTCGTCCTTCCATGAATACAGTCACAGAAATGTTGGAGAAGAATATCAACGAATTGAAAATGCCACCCAAGCCATTCCTTTCCTGCCCCCTGCCCCAATCACATTTCTCATCTTAGCCAAGATATTCCCTATTGGGAGGACTCATATCATCTATGTTTTATAATGTCACTCAAAACCAAAACAATGAAAAGTATATTCTTGTAGCACCTTTGAATTACTATTGCCCATTTTCAATAGATGAATATACATATTCATAAAAGCAGCAAATCAATGTGTGGGTTTAATCATAGTTCCACGTGATCCTACCATATACATTGTTATTTGATTTGCTGCTTTGCAATTTTCCATCACCCATGCACCACACATCACACATAGTCAGTCAGTCCATCATCCAAATATTAATGTACTACCAATTTGTGCCCACATCAAGTTATGTTCACCTGTTTGTCCAAATTGTAAACCTTCCTGCAATCCAAGACCCAAAACATGTTCACTAGTATAGGCAGTGAGCCTAGCTCAATTGGGTGGGTGGGAGGTGTAGTTGTACACCCAACCACAGCCAGGTAAGTCCCCTCTAAGTTTGAATTTGGGTGTCTATTCTCTCTTCGTAACGAAAAACCGCCTAGTTTCTCTTAGATTGGATCTCGTTTTCTTTAAACAAGTATATAAAAATTATAAAAGAACACCCACATATCCAAAGGCCGAACGCTAACAGTTACAGCAGACCGTTTCCCAGCAACACTAGTGTACTCGTGACGATTCCATTGAAAATGAGAACACGTTTTCTATCGGCCTGAGAACTTAATAATCAAATTGGTCCACAGGGCGACAGCTTAGCAAACCACAATATGTGCTAGATCTACGTATCATTAGGGATACAAGTGTGTACCCGACAGAGATCCATCCAGTTGTTAACAGCCAGTGAATAAGCAAGCACATACCTCCATTTTTGACAGGCGGGCCGTGGGCGCGGGATGCGTCATCCATCGGTGACCCCATCACCACCGGGCACCGGCACCGGCACCGAGACTGCGGCCACGCGGGGGTGGATCGGAATATCGTTTGCTCAACAATTTCCTGCATAGCAACGTAATTAGCCGAAGTCGCGCTGTGGTGCTGCCGCCGCGTCTGACGGCGGCGACAGGAGCCGCCGGGACGGGGCATATCAGCTGCCTTCGGCGCAGGGCGGAGCGCAACGCACCATTTACGGGCTTTGAAGCCCATGCATGCACATCTCGCCCAGACATGGGTTGGAAGGATTGAAATTCCTCAGTCTGACTATCATTGCGCCTCCGGCCCAGTTTCTTCAATGGGCCGGACTGACTCGTGCGGTCCTCAGGCCTGGGATCCTTCCACCACAAAAATAGCGTGTGTAAGACCCACAACATACTTCGCTATATCTTGGAAAAAGATCCTCTAACTCTAAAATCAGACATCTTATCTTTCTGAACTCTCAAAACCATTTCAGTTAACTCCCTGCCATAATTTAAAGTGATTTTGAAGGTGGTTTCATCCTTCTTATGTTAAAAATAGTAAATACTTGATAATAAGATTTTTAAAGTACAAAAAATGTCTCTATGCTTTTAAAAATTTCCAAAAACTGTAGTGATAGATTGGGATACAACAAATTCAAATAAAATATTTAGAGCTCATGAAAATATCTCTAGATGCTTCAAAACATAGATTTAGCTGTAGAAAAATAAGAAAGTATCCAAAAAATCTAGAAATTTCTCAAAGTATTCCAATTGATATGTAAATATGTTTTTAGAACTTTCCACAACAAAAGACGTAATATGTGACCAACGCGAATGCATTCAGTATTAATGTATGTTACATTTACGCTAGTTTTATCTCATATTTTTTATATGTCAAGTTTCTAAACCATGTCTATACATCAATTATGATGTTTTGGGAATCTTATAATTTTTTCTAGATATTTTTTCCATTTTTCTAGAGCTAAACGTATTTTTAAGTTTCTAAATATGTTTCATGAGCTCAAAATATTTTATTTGAATGTATCCTATCCCAATCTATCTCTAGTTTTTTTTTGAATTTTTAAAGTCTTATTAGGAACATTTTTTGTGTTTTAAAAACTTTATTAAGTATTTACTATTATTTTACTAAAAAACACGAAACAGCCTTCAAAAACCACTCCAAACTTGGGTAGGAGGGTGATTAGAACGGTTTTGAGAGTTTAATAAGATGTAAGACACTTGATTTTGACTTTTGAATTTCAAGAGAAAACAAACTATGACAATAATTCAGGGATAGAATGAACTTTTTTTTTCTCTATCTCTGACGGCCCAAGCATAACTTCTCTTCGTTCATAAAACCGTTGGTGAAGAAGCCACGAACGGTGCAATGCGCGCTCACCTGTCACCTACTCGTACAAATCTGCTGACGCAAGCATTGGCATCACCGCATCAACACGTAGCCGTGCGCCATATTTCGAACTTATTTCGGCTGATTCAATAGTGTTGTGTGAGAGAGAATAATCTGAAACAAGTTGAGATTAGACAAAGAGAACAGGCTGGGCATGCGCATCTAGGCATCCAGCCAATAAAGACGACGGAAAAGCCAACGTACACGGTGCACCCAAAAGGTCGAAGAAGGAGACCATGCAATCAAATATGAAATCTATTTTCATTTTTCAACTCAAAGCTCAAACAAGTCAAACGGCCCCTGTTCTTGTCCAAAGTATACAGACACCTTCCACCATCCTCCTCGTCTCCTCGCCACGTCCACCACCAACCATCATTGCCAGATCGCCGCCATGGCCGCGCAAGCCCGGCTGCGGCTCCTCTCCACCCTAACATTCCTAGTAGTCCACGCGGCGACAGCAGCACCTGCTGCCGCGACAAGCTGCGCGCCGAGGACATGCGGCAACCTGACCATCGCCTACCCGTTCTGGCTCCCGGACCAGCAGCCTTCCTCCTCCTCCTCGGCGCCGCCGTGAGGGCCGAGCGCCTTCAGGTGGACTGCCGCGGTGGCCTCGCGTCGCTGGCGCGCTCGTGGTGGCCAACAACAAGATCCTCCCCGTGTCCTACGCCGACCGCACCGTCGTGGTGGCCAACGACAACGTCCAGACCGACGCCCGCGGCTGCCCCGTGCCGCGCATCGACGTCTCCGCCAGCCTCAGCTTCGCGCCCTTCACGGCCAGCAGCGCCAACGCGCAGCTCGTCTTCCTCTTCAACTGCACCGGGACCGGGAGCCCGCCGCCGGCCGGGTTCGTCAACGTGACGTGCCCGGGGGCGCAGGCCGTGGTGCGGCTCGACCCGAGGTACAACGCCACCGACGCGAAGGCGGTGGCCGGGGACTGCGACTACTCGGTCGTGCCGGTGATGGGTTCCTCCGGCGGCGCGAGCGCCGCGGACTATCCGCTGCTGCTGAGGGGCGGGTACCTGCTGGAATGGCGGGCGTCGCCTGGGGACTGCACGGCGTGCAATGCCAGCGGCGGCCAGTGCGGGTAGGACTCCGACGCGGATGCGTTCGCCTGCATTTGCGACGACGGGTCTTCGCATCCGGCAAGATGCGGTATGACTGAGTATCTGGTTCTGTTATTCTGCAACTTCCTGGTCCGTGCCTTTGTTTTGATTTCTTATTGTTACAGTTTGCTTGTTTTAGAAACTGAAATAGTAGAAACTAACCTCGGTTGCTAGATTTTAACACACTTGGAAGATGGGAAACACCGTGAATTTTTGCATGTACGGAGTATGCAGCATTCTGAATTTTTGGTGTTTGCTTTCATGCTCGCAAACTAAACTGGAAACTGGAAAGAAAAAGTCTCAGCCCCTAATTGGTGTTTAATTAACTGAATGAACTTTTAGCTTTTCAGAACGAGGTAATTCACATGACTAGCAATAGTTCTCATCATGAATCGCTAAAATTTGGCTTATGCCGATGCTTATGCAGATTTGTTGCGAGAGGAAAACCATTCTTCGTTCGCTGAAAAGTACTGCTAAATTAGTTCAAGCGAACATGACATAGCACTGATATGAACAGTGTCTTTCAGTTAGAACAATATTTTTCTCTCACAGCAACCTAGCTGGAATAGTATTTTTGCTTATTCAGCCAGCCAGCCGAACACTCCCAAAAGAATACTGCAAATCATGATTACTGTATTCCAAAAAAAATCATGATTATTGTACTGTTACAAGCTGCAGTGCAACCCGCTGATACAATCTTGTATCCAATTTCAGTCTCTGTCGATCACATTCGGCCTGTTGTTGGCACTCCTCGTCCTAATCCTCAAGTTCCCTCGACAAATACGCAGTTTCAGCTTATTCAGCATCATGGACAAAACTAGGAGTCCAGGCTAAAAAAACATCATGGACAGAAGCAGCAGCAGAGACGCTGCAAACGTGGAAAAACTCCTGCAGAAGTACGGATCACTCGCTCCCAAGCGGTACAGATACTCCGAGCTGATTGTGATTGCTGTGAGAGGGAAATACTGTTCGGCAGGACTAAAAAATACTGTTCTAACTGATTGTTGTGAGAGAAAAATACTATTGACGTGAATAGTGATTTCGTGAGTTAGCTGGAGCCAGCCAGCTTAAAGAACACGCCCGAAGAGAATAACCAAATCTTTCCAGCACAAGCTCGGGGAAGGCGGCTACGGCGCGGTGTTCAGCGGCGTCCTGACCGCCGGCAGCGCCGGCGGCAACCGCGCGCGCGAGGTCGCCGTCAAGTTCCTGCACCACTCGAGACCCAACGGCGAGGAGTTCCTGAACGAGGTGATCAGCATCGGCCGGACGTCGCACGTGAACATCGTCACCCTCCTCGGGTTCTGCCTCGAGGGCTCCAGGCGCGCGCTGGTGTACGAGTACATGCCCAACGGCTCGCTGGACAGGTACATCTACGCCGAGGACCCGGGCACGGCGCTAGGGTGGGAGGCGCTGCAGGAGATCGCCGCCGGCATCGCGCGGGGGCTCGAGTACCTGCACGAGGGGTGCAGCACGCGGATCATCCACTTCGACATCAAGCCCCAGAACGTGCTCCTGGACGCCGACCTCCGCCCCAAGATCGCCGACTTCGGGATGGCGAAGCTGTGCAACCCCAAGGAGAGCATCCTGTCGATGGCGGACGCGCGAGGCACCGTCGGGTTCATCGCGCCGGAGGTCTTCTCCCGCGGGTTCGGGGTCATCTCGACCAAGTCCGACGTGTACAGCTACGGGATGCTGCTGCTGGAGATGGTCGCCGGGAGGAGCAACGCCGCCAAGGCCTACGCCGAGAATAAGTCCAGCGGCGACGACGGCGACCTCTTCTTCCCGCTCTGGGTGTACGACCACCTGCTCGAGGACGGCGACGGCGTGCTGCAGGGCAGTGACGCGGGAGGCGCCGGGGCAGCAGGCGAGGAGATCGCGAGGAAGATGGCGCTGATCGGGCTCTGGTGCATCCAGACCGTGCCCGCGAGCAGGCCGTCGATGAGCAGGGTGCTGGAGATGCTGGAGAGGAGCATCCATGAGCTCGCCATGCCGCCCCGGCCGTACCACACTTCTCCGTCCAACTCCCCGTCGCCGTCGCACCCGTCGAGCTATCCGTCCTCCACGTCGGATTTCACTCAACGGTGAGCGTCTGGTTTGCAGATTGTGCAATCAATGTCGATTGTCTGTTGCTTGTGAATTGTGATCACTGACCGAATTAAATTGCTTCTTCGATCAGCAGCTCTAGATTGCGTACACCGGAGAGCACAGCGTAACGAAAGGATTGGAGAAGAAAGGAAGAATCAAGATAGGTTGGCAACAAGTTGATTTGTGCAGTTTGGGTAGAGGACCAAATACGGAGCATGAACATGATGTAGTACAAAGGTAGTGTGCAGGTTAACGATTTCGGAGTACATATGTTAGATAGAGCATATTATATATATATAATCAAAATTAGGTTCGGTTAATGCAAGCAAAGAAAGTCAAGATTTTTTTTTAGCACAGCAGCAACGAAAGTCAAGATGGCCGGACGGCCTGGGATGATGTCCAGAAAGATGCAGGCCCAATTAATAGTAACTGTAAACTTTCTGGATCAATGCGTCCCGCCCCAAACTGCCCAAAACCTGAAAACTGACCGAACAGCACCGAGAATAAGGCCCAGCGCGGGTTTTTTCAATAACACGCATTGACGTGTATTTCATTAAAAAGAAGTGGAAGTGCCGAAAGAATGGCTTACATGACAGCGCAACACACGAACCACAGAGAAAGTGGTGAAGAACAAAATACACAAGAGAAAGAACCATGGTAGGGAGAGAGGCCTCCGCCACAACCTAACCGATTGGACCTGCAGGGGATAACAACGCAAAAGACTGCCAGCTGGGGAGATGAAGTCGCGGTGGCAAAGCTTCCACTAAGAAGAGACAAGTACAGCGGCAAAGCATCCACCCGAACAACCAGCACGACGGCAAAGCATCCGCCAGAGACCACGCGGCAAAGCATCCGCGAAGATGTAGCGACAACGGCTGCAAGGCATCCGTCCAGAGACCACGCGGCAAAGCATCCACGAAGAGGTAGCGACAACGGCAGCAAAGCATCCGTCAGAGACCCCGCGGCAAAGCATCCGCAAGAGGTGAGCGACTTCGGCGGAAAAGCATCGCCCGGATAGCAACGACGGCAAAGCACCGTCAGACCAAAGCGAAGATAGGGTTGACGCACACGCAGGCACAGCACAACCAAGAGCAACTCTGGCGAGAGGGGCGTGACAACAAATAGTGCTCCAACGAAGCATCCAGGAAGGGGATGACGTCCACAGACGCCAACAACGTTGAACGAAGAGCACGAGAAGGACTTTCGTCCCACAGCCACAGTGAACCGCGCGACAAACAGCAACTTCAGCGACGCCTTCAAGAAGGTAGGTGGCACAAACACTACCACCACCGGCGGCCCAAATCAAGACGCTAGGCTGAGTTTTCACCCAATAAAACTGTTCGCCGGCACAGAAGAGAGAACCACTGCTCGCTCGTTCACACTACCAGAGGCAGGTCCCGAAGCAGTCTACGGCTGCCCAGTCGCCGCCGCCGGGCGCAGGCACCCAACGAGGCTGCCGCTGGGCCAGTCCCAGTCAGGCGCGGGCTGTCGTATTGCACCTACCGCAGCACATGCCGCCTCCAGCTCTTGGCCGCGGAGGGGCGGACGGAGGAGGCTAGCAGCCCGCACGGACGAGGACGGCGCCCACGACGAGGCCGAGGCAACCGCCGCCGAGCACCACCGCGTCCGCCGCGAAGGGCGCGCAGGCCGCCGCCCAGTCGCCGCCGCCGGGCGCAGGCACCCAGCGAGGCTGCCGCTGGGCCCGTCCCAGGTAGCCGAGGGCTGTGGTACTGCATCTGCCGCTGCACATGCCGCCTTCAGCTCTTGGCAGCGGAGTGGCGGGGCGGAGGAGGCTAGCGGCCTGCACGGATAACGAAGGCGCCCACGACGAGGCCGAGGCTACCGCCGCCGAGCACCACCGCGTCCGCCGCGAAGGGCGCGCAGGCCGCCGGCCGGCCGCCGCCGCCCGCACCCGCACCACCAGAAGCGCTACCAGATGCAGGTCCGGCAAGGGAGGGCGCAGATCCGGCCCCGAGGTGCCCGGATCCAACCCGCCGCCGGCCAGTTCGCCGGAGAAGGCCGAGGATGAGATGCCACCGCCGGGGAAGAGGCGCGCCCGACACTGCGGCAGAGCACCAAAGATCCGGCATGGGGGCACAGATCCAGCCACATGGTGCCCGGATCCGGGCCGCCGGCCGGCCGGCTCGCGCGGAGATGGTCGTGGAAGAGTCAGGTTGGAGGAGGAGGGGGTGAGGGGTGAGGGACGTGGGAGGAAAGGTGCTGTGATGGGAGCCTTTTTTCGGGCCGCGACAGGTCACCGCCGTCGAACGCTAGAGGGCGGCGGCCGCCGCCGGAGAGGAGACTGAGTGGTGGCGCTTGACGGCGCTGGCAAGCCGCCCCGAGTCACTCGTTGGGGCGCTCGGGACGCGACACAGCGAGTTCCTTAGGGCAACTAGTTTAAAGGACCAGCAGTTTGTATAATGCCGCATCAAAAAAAAAAGTATTGCTTTTCAACTTAAGATTTTTATAAATAATAATTATTTTTTCTTTCTCTCTCAACTCTATCTTCTTTTTTCAATGGGAGTGCGACAACGAGCTTCCTAAAAACTAGTGGTTTCTCCTCAATGGCGATTTCATAGATTTCTTGGTGCATTGGGTCAATGAGTAGACCTTATTTCTTCATGAGGAAACTATTTCTATAATTTTTGCTCTCTTTCTTTATTAATTACGTTGCCATGGTCAGCATTTTATCTACGTAACAAGTCATTTAACGAGGATAGAAACTATCATCATTACACCATTGGGACTGCCTTAGCCTCTCGCTCTCATGTTGGTATTCGGGCCAGCAGGATAGCTCGCTATTTAGCAGTGTGCGACGATGATCCCGCACCGGTGATCGAGAATAAATAATAATAATCATTCACAGACAATAGATGTCCCCTAAAACCATACCTCATTTATTTCACATTTATGCTACTTCTCATGTTCTCACCTCAAAGGTATACAACTACAATAGACGTCCCGCGGCAACGCGGGGCCTGACTAGTCTCTACAACTAAAAAATTCATACAGTCAACATCTATCTGGGAGGACGATAGGTCGTGCGACCCCGTGTCTACCCGGCAGGACGAATACACGTGCGACACCACAACCTCCGCCAATTTCTACCTCACCGAACGGCGAGGGCGGACGAAGGGGCATAGGGGTAGGGCGTGCAGGCGTGTGCGGCGGGCCGCCTGTAGGGTCCACGGCTCTGCTGCTCCGGGTAGCACAGGGCAGGGTGCAGCCGCGTAGGGCGCTGGCTCCGAGGCGGTCAAGGCGCCGAGCATGAGGCCGCGAGCGCCGGACGGCTGGGCACCACGTCGCCATGGGTGAAGCTCCTCCCTCCGCTTGCCCAAATCCCCGCGCCCCTGCGTCTGAATCCAGTGCGTCCTGCCCTAATCCGTCCCCTCCTCCGCTTCCCAGCGATGGGTGCCGGCCGTGTCTGCCGCGGTGGCCCCTCCTCCACTTCCCCCGCCGTTGGTGCCGCCGCGGGCGGCCATTTCCGAGGCTCGCCACGTCCTCCTCCACCTCCCCTTCCTCGGCCCCCTCCGAGACGGCGTCCGCGTCGGTCACCAAGGCGGTGAACGGCGCCCACCACTTCAAGATCACGGGCTACTCGCTCTCCAAGGGGATCGGGGTGGGGAAGTTCATCGCCTCCGAGTCCTTCAACGCGGGGATGACGCTGGCTACCTCTCGCTATGTTGGTGAGGCACGAGAAGGTGGGTGAGGAGAAGGTCATCGAGGTTAGGTGGTTCCTCGACTCCAGTGCGGTGCCCGGCGTGCCTGCTGGACCACCCAAGTCGTCGGCTACTGCTAGGAGGGAGTCATTTGCGAAGAGGGTGGGGTTGGCCACGAACCCCATGGGGAGGAAGCTGTTTGAGGTGAGGGAGGCGAAGCAGAGCAACTTATGTGTTGCAGCGGATGTTGGGACAACAAAAAAGCTACTTGAGCTTGCTGACGAGGTATACATGCCATTAGTTCTTGTGTATTTGCGATGCCTTTCTACTATTTTCTAATAGTGTGTTAATTTGTTTGTTCCATTTGTGTTGGTCAGGTTGATATCTTTTCTGATTTTACACCAGATTTTGGGGCCAAGCTTCACACAGTATGTTCTCTTCATACATCATCTTTATTATCTTCTCTTTTGTTGTACTTAAGATCATCATTCTTTTATTGTGTGTCCATAATAGCCCAGTTAGATTTCAAAAATTGTACTTTGCCTATCACAAATCAGATGTCGGTCCTCATAGTAGAGATGTAGATGCAGTATCCTTTTGTGTAATCAAAATGGGTTGTCCATTACTGTTAAGGCAAAATTCCTACACCAGGCCAATCTACTTGGTTCTTTAGCAGCGTTAGCACAGGCTAGATAATTTAGTACTAAATTCCTACATTAGGCTCCTCTAGTTAAATATGATATTATCTTCAGTTATCGGTTATGTTGGATAATTTTTCAGTTCTCCTGTGTCATCCGATGAAAAAAATGTTGAAAATAATTTTCAGGTACAAAACTGATACTATCCTTCATCCAAGTACCAATTACTGGCCATCTAATTTATCTATGTCTGAGTTGTAGTTTTTTTCCTTGCCTGGAGGAACTGATGCTAACCTTCCATTGATTGAGAAACAGAAATGCTTGATTATTTTTTATTTTCAGATATAGGGTTATTTGTTATTTTCAGAATCTGGCTATTTTTTATGTTTATTACCAGTGCAACTGTGTTTCGTAATTATAGGATATTAATTTCTTACATTGACATATTCTCCTGGTCGCCGGATCAATGATTGGTCTTTACCATCTTTTGTATGACAGAATTATTCTCTACATTGCTTATATGGCTTGGTGTTAACCCTTTTTTTGGCATGCAGATGCTGGAGCAATGCCAGTTGCCAAACAAAGTGATTCAGTTATTTTACATCAATTCTGTTTATACAAGCTGTAAACAGTAATCAGCTACTTAGATTAATGTGGCTAATTTTCTATCGGTGCAGATCAGTCATCTACTGAACTCTTTCTC